AAATATTGATTTCCCATATAGGAAAGTATATATGGATCTTCCTAGCTCGCAGAGCTGAGTCGATCTAGCTATGTATGTCCGTCTGTCCGTCTGTCCGTCTGTCCATGTTAATTTGTAATCACTCTACAGGTCGCAATTATGGCCCGATCTTCACGAAATTTAAAATGTAGGTGGGGTTAATGTCAGAATAGAACCCTATTTCTTTTGGAGATGATCGCCAAATGTTTAGGGGTTGAAATGGACCAAATACTGAAAAAATTTCGGATTTTGCAGTAGCTGTACAGGTCGCAATTATAGACCAATCGACGCGGAATTTCGCATGTAGCTAGAGTTTAGGGCGGGGAAGAAGCCTACCAATTTGGGTGATCATCGGATAATATTTAGCGGCTAAAATAGACCATATCTTTTTTGTTGAAAAAATTCAACATTTTTCATTAAACCGCGAATATTTTAAATCCCGGCGAAATCACAAAGCCATCATAAGGGTACTTCTGATCTTTACATTGATGTTAAGATCCAACAAATCGAATATATAGCAAAATATGTGCGATATATATGTCTATCAAAGAAGATACGCTTGAAAGATCTATTTTATGTCGAGAACGGCTGAACTGATGTCGACAGTTCTCATTAATTTAGAATGGCCTCTTGGCAGAAAAGAAAAAACGCCTAAAAAATCGCATAAAAATATCTCTCTAAAGATGAAAATATTGATTTTGTAAAATTTTCTCATATTTTTTTCAATTTTGTCATATTTTTGGCATATTTTCATTTTGAATTAAACATTTGGTAATATTTCTACAGCTAACAAAACTAAGTAGTTAGGATATCAGGATATCATATACAGATCGCATTTATGGCCCGATCCTTACGAAATTTTGCATGGGGATAAGATGAGGGTCAGAATAGAAGCCTACTCTTTTTGGAGATGATCGCCATATATTTAGGGGTTGAAATGGACCAAAAACTGCAAAATTGTCAGCAGGTCGTAATTATCGCCCGGTCCTCACGCACATTTGAATGGGGGTTACCGGACATTGCAAAAGCCAAGCAGTTTTAGATGGCCATCCAAAAAAATTCAATGTGTGAAGGAGTTTGCCAACTTTTATAGACAAAATACGAAAATGTCCATTCTAGTGACTTTTTGGAGAATTCACAAATACAGGAAAGACGCACTTCTGACTATTTCGTTAACGCTGATTTCGTTGAAGAATATAGTCAAATCGCTGTATCTCATATAGGTGTGTTTCAGTCAAAAACCAATAATAAATGTTAATCTTTTGCCACTTCTCAGAGATTATGGGTCTTTGGGAAATATTGGTTCCAGATCTAGGAAGACCATTTAGGTGCAACATTTACCAATAAATTGGAAATGAGCAAATTAGTTTAAGTTGGTATTATTCGAAAATTAGAGAACGAAACCTGATGGTTTTCTTTTATTATTTGTCACAATATCTTGTGGAATTCTTTCGAGTATCTCGCCTATATAAACTGTATCGTTTATTGTAGTGTTGTAGGGTATTCAACGGTCGGCCCCGCTCGACTGTAGCCTTTGCTTACTTGTATTTTTATAGGTTTGCTCTAACAGCAGAGTAAAAGAAAAAAATTGATTGGATAGAGGTTCACTTGGAAATAATCAATACAAAATTTGTAGTAACAATATTGGCTGTATCTGTCAACGTTTTCAGCAAGATTTACTCAGAAAATTCTTTTTTTTCATCGAAGGGAAATATGGCGACTTTCAATAAAAAAATTGCAGAAAATTATTAAGTCTCATATGACAAATTCGAGTTATTGGCACTGCATTACCATACCACCTAAGAGCAACAATCGGTTTCTGTAAAAAATCTATTCCTGAGTAAACTATTGCAAAAACTGCTTTAAAATCTGTAAAGAAAGGGCAAAGGCCGCTGTCGACTATATTTTGCAATACACTACCGTGCATATTTAATGTAGCTAACATTTACATTAAGAATTTAGCGAATTTACCATTTTTGTTTTGTGGTTAGGATTTAAATCAGAGCACAGATTTCCTCGTTTTCACTAGGGAGTGAATCTTGCTCGCGAGCGGCATTGCTCGAAGAGTGTTGTCGTATAAGGAGACTACTCTGCGCTATTGTTTTGTGTGGGAACGCCCCAGGTCACTCCAGTTTAGAATGGGAGTGGAATCGCTTGAAATAGAGTGAGAGTGTGCTCTAAGAGGGAAAACGAATGAAAAACAAGTAAAAAAGCAGATAAGCTCTGCCGGGCCGAACTATTAATACCCTCCACAATTTGGAAGGAATTTGAAAATTTTCCAAAAAAAAATCCATCGAAAAATCGCCTAAATGAAATCCCCCCCCCCCACCAAAAAAAAGGGGGCTACACCAAGACATCGATCTGCAAAAGGAATTTTTTTGTCATAGGCTGCAGTACCCATTACGAACTTTAAATACGAAATTTGAAACAATTCGGTCCATAATGGCTCTAAAATTATAAAAATACCGAATATTGGGAGGTACTGTTATATGGGGGCTATACAAACGCGTGGATCCACATGGCCCATTTACGAACTTAACCTGCCTACTGCCAAAATAATCATCAAAGATGTAAGCAAAGGCTATAGAAGTGCGGGGCCGACTAAGTGATACCCTAAAACACTACATATGTTGGAAGCCCCTTATGTCTTAATCCATTTTGGAAGATGTCGTTTTTAAAAGTATGTCATAGAGCGTTGGCCGGATATTACCTTTAGCTTTTTGACCGGGGGCATTTGGCCAATATTTACGCACTCCGTCATGTTGTTATTTTTTCAAATCAATTTCACACGAAAGTTGTGCTCTATGCTAGACCTTGACTCTCTTCTCATGCAAAATTCCGTTTCGATTAGGTTTCAATTATAACTTAGAGAGCGACTATTTTAATGGTTCATTTTAACGCCTAAATATACATCTTCAAAAACAATAAGCTTTAATTCTGACCCTAGCCAAATAATATTCATTTTTATTGTCATATTTTTACGCGATTTTCTTAGATATTATCCTTTTCCGGCAAGAGACCATTCCGAACTGATCAGAATTGTGAAAATCAGTCCAGCGGTTCTTGACTTTTAAGCGGAAGAAGTAAGATCTATTTCTTTTACATATATATCGTACCTATTTTGCTATATATCCGATTCTTGGCTATCAGCATCACTGTAATAGTCAGAAGTGACCGGTTTAGTGGAAATTTTCGTATTTGTTGACACAAAAAATTATAGTTTATTTTACCCGCTAAATATTGACCGATGACCGTCCAAAATCTCTAAAGCTCTATGTCAAATAATGTGGGTGTCGTGATTTTAACATACAGACGGACACTGTTAAAACGACTTCGAATTTTATGCTGATTGGGAATATATATACTTTATGGAATCTACCACGAATATTTAGGGACGGAACGGAATGACAAAGTTACCCTCTATTTCAAGGTGTAGAGTATAATAAATCATGGTCCATTTTCTTTCAAATTCAAGTCGATTGATGAATTCAAGTCGCAGTAGACCTATTGCGAACTTTAAATTTCAAATTTAAAACATTTCCGGTGAAAATTTTGACACAAATCATCAAAATACCGAATATCTGGAGGTACAGAGATATTAGGACTATACCAAAACTTAGATCTTTATTGACAGTTCCTTGAAAGATGTTTCTTATATAATGGGTATGAATTCGGGTTAAAATTGTGACTAAACATAAAAAACTTATATCTGTCGGTACAGTAATATGGGGACTATACCATAACGTCGACCTATATATTCCATTTTCAATAAGAAAAGATGCAAACACACAGCAGAGTAAAATTTGATCAACCTACTTCATTTCGTTCGGAAGCAAGAGTGATATCCGCAAACGGACAGACATCGACAAGAACTAAGTGTCAAATGAGGGTATAAATTTGTCAAAACCTCGACTTAATTTTTTTACCCTCCACCATATATAGTACGGAGGGTATATTAAGTTCGACATTCCGTTTATAACTCATCGAAATAATAATTTTAAACCCAACAAAGTATATACATTCTTGATCAGCGAAAAGTTCTAAGATGATTTAGCACAGTCAGTCTCTCCGTCTGTTGATATCCTATATCCCCCATATAACCGTACCTCTCTATATTCTGTATTTTGCTGATTTCAGCGACATTATTAACTAGAATTGTATAAACGTAGTATTTTCAGTTCGATATGGGAACTACAACCTGTAACAGAAAATTGCCTACAGGTCCAGGTGTTCGTATAGCCCCTATATTCGGTATTTTGATGATTTTAGCGAAATTATTCACAACAATTGTTCCAAATTTCCTTTTTGAAGTTCTTAATGGCTAATACAGTCTGTGACAGAAACTTGGCTATGCAGGTGCACGACGTCGTATAGACCCCAAAATAGCAATAACTCCCTGTATTCAGTATATTTAAGATTTTAACAGAATTTTTTACGAATACGTTTTTTTTTTTTTTTTTTTTTTTGAATTTTCTAAGTTTTTTCCAAAGCTGGCCCGACCGTACTCACTGCTTTTTAACATGTTTTTTTTAAAACATGTATTTCGAAAATTACATAGGAAATGATAAACCATCTATAGGCACAATTACTTGGAGTTTCAAAAATATAACACATTCCATTTATGTTTTGCATAAAAGAAACCTCATCAGAGAGTTTAAAACTTGTCTCCTGCACTGCATCAGAAACATGTTCAATTATCTCCCTACTTCTGGCCGTTTGATGAAAACGCGGAGTTTTATGCGTCTTGGGAATTTGCATGCATAACTTTGATATAACTTGTTTCCAATTTACAGAAAATAGACAAACAAAAAAAAACAAAAAGTAAAAGTTTGGATATTTCGAGAAATACATATCCAACTAAACATGGTCAAGCCAGATGACCACATGCTCATCCATATAAATTGTAATAAAATCGTTACAACAATAACAAGATATCAATACAAGCTTTGAAGAAAACCAATAATACAAGTTGCCAGACTTACCATTTCTTTGGTGTCCATTAATACTTCGTGTCGTTGCGGGTACTGCACTCCAACTGTAGACATTTGTCATTAAAGCCATGACCAGCAAAAGTAAACTCATGCTGTAATATCGATCCATTGCACGGATCCACAGAGACCAATTCTAGTTGATGTTCTTGATTATTGATAAAAAAAAAACTGGCACTCACACACACAAACCCACACTTCAACAACAGACCGTTATTTTAATTGTCATCGATATGTTCGTTTATTTACTGTTTAGATGCTCTTGCATTTATGGTAATGCCATTTTCCAGTTTGGAGCTGTTAGCGGTTCTTTGTCGTCTTTACATCATTATCATAATTTTGGGTTACAAAATCAAATTTATAGTTTTCTTCCGTTGCAGCAACCGTTTTATGAGTAATTCTTCTTCGACTTCTTTCTGCTTTTTTGTTTATAAAGCAATTTTTTTTTTCAAATTTACCAACACACACAGTTTCACTCAATTCATTAATGAACAAAAGATGCGCATGTGCCTGGCGTTACACATTTGATTTCATCACACTTTTCTACACACAGATGCACCGAAGAAGCACCAACAGACTTAGTTAAATGAATGGAGAACTAATGAAAAACCATCCGCACTCTACCAAGTTCAAGGTAATATTAAGCCATGACTAGCATACCAAAGAAGTTTTATACCGGCTGTCATCTTAGCCCAGCGCCATACATTCAACCTCGGCGTTAAGAGTGGTTTTGTCTTTAAATGAAAGAGAAAAGCGGTTTTAAGAGAGAATAACAGCAACAAGTTCACCAAAGTTTGGAGAGACAACAATTACACACACTTACCACCAACACTTCATGGAAATCGGTTAGAGAGTTTGTTTGAACGACCACATGGTGGGAGCTAGCTATTTTGGCCATGACTCTTAACCGGTGAGTAGTTATGTGGCAACGCAGTGCTAATTGTTTGTGGCCAAACCACAAAATGCACAAAGCGCAATTGCCCACTGCCACATAAAGGACTTGTTCACTGTCACCAAAAATGGTAAAATATTTGAAATTTGCAAGTTTGTATCTTCAGACTTTTCACGTGTGTTTCTCCATTCACATATAGTATTTTAATGAAATATATCTTAGTTATAAAACCAAACTAAACAATTTTTAAATGATCCAATTTAAGTTAAAAACAAGTAAGCAAAGGCTACAGTCGAGCGGGGCCGACCGTTGAATACCCTACAACACTATAATAAACCATACAGTTTATATAGGCGAAATACTCGACAGAATTCCACAAGAAATTGTGACAAAAAAAATAAAGAAAACCATCAGGTTTCGTTCTCTAATTTTCGAATAATAGCAACTTAAACTAATTTGCTCATTTCCAATTTATTGGAAGATGTTGCACCTAAATGGTCTTCCTAGATCTGAAACCAATATTTCGCAAAGACCTATAATCTCTCAGAATTGGAAAATATTAACATTTATTATTGGTTTTTGACTGAAACGCATCTATATGAGATACAGACATTTGACTATATTCTTCAACGAAATCAGCGTTAACGAAATAGTCAGAAGTGCGTCTTTCCTGTATTTGTGAATTCTCCAAAAAGTCACTGAAATGGACATTTTCGTATTTTGTCTAGAAAAGTTGGCAAACTATTTCACACATTGAATATTTTTGGATGGCCATCCGAAACTGCTTGGCTTTTGCAATGTGCGGTAACCCCCATTCAAATGTACGTGAGGATCGGGCAATAATTACGACCCGCCGACAATTTTGCAGTTTTTTGGTCCATTTCAACCCCTAAATATATGGCGATCATCTCCAAAAAAATAGGCTTCTATTCTGACCCTCATCTTATCCCCATGCAAAATTTCGTAAGGATCGGGCCATAAATGCGATCTGTATATGATATCCTGATATCCTAACTACTTAGTTTTGTTAGCTGTAGGAATATTACCAAATTTTTAATTCAAAATGAAAATATGCCAAAAATATGACAAAATTGAAAAAATATGAGAAAATGTTAGAAAATCAATATTTTCATCTTTAGAGAGATATTTTTATGCAATTTTTTAGACGTTTTTTCTTTCCTGCCAAGAGGCCATTCTGAATTAATGAGAACTGTTGAAATCAGTTCAGCCGTTCTCGACATATAAGTGATCTTTCAAGCATATCTTCTTTGATAGACATATATATCGCACATATTTTGCTATATATTCGATTTATTGGATCTTAACGTCAATGTAAAGATCAGACGTAACCTTGTCATGGCTTTGTGATTTCGCAGGGATTTAAAATATTAGCGGTTTAAAAATTTTGAATTTTTTCAACAAAAAATATATGGTCTATTTTACCCGCTAAATATTATCCGATGACCACCCAAATTGGTAGGCTTCTTCCCCACCCTAAGTTCTTGCTACATGCGAAATTCCGCGTCGATTGGTCTATAATTGCGACCTGTATAGCTACTGCAAAATCCGAAATTTTTTCAGTATTTGGTCCATTTCAACCCCTAAACATTTGGCGATCATCTCCAAAAGAAATAGGCTTCTATTCTGACCCTAACCCCACCTTCGTGCAAAATTTCGTTAGGATCGGGCCATAATTGCGACCTGTAGAGTGATTACAAATTAATATGGACAGACGGACAGACGGACGGACGGACATACATAGCTAGATCGACTCAGCTCGGCGAGCTAGGAAGATCCATATATACTTTCCTATATGGGAAACCAATATTTCGAGGTGTTACATAAATTCTGGCCCAATCAAACTTATAATACCCCCAACACATAGTGTTGTAGGGTATAATAAATATGAAGACAAATTATTGAAATTATTAAGAAGAAAATCATTGAATATAGGCATGACTTGACTAAATTAGAGATGTATCTGGAGCTTGGTTTGAATAGACAAAAGCCGTAGTATTTCAATAATTTCCATAAACATGGATACAACTTTATGTATGGGTTGTGTGTATGCCTTCTTAAATAGAGGTGTTAAAATCAATAATGATAATCATACCAGTCCTTATTATATGACAATGTGATATTTTCATATTCAGATATTAAATATTTGTATGTTCAATGGAATAGAGACATCTAAAGAGAAAACGTGATATTGGGGTTTCATTAGAAAAACTTGGAAAAATATTTGAACACATGTGTAAGAAAGTATATGATTATACCCTACAACACTATGTGTTGGGGGTATTATAAGTTAGATTGGGCCAACATTTATGTAACACGAAATATTGGTCCCCGACATAAATGGATCTTCCGAGCTGAATCGATCTAGCTATGTATGTCCATCCGTCCGTCTGTCCATGTTAATTTTTAATCACGCTACAGGTCGCAATTATGGCCCGATCCTCACGAAATTGTTTTGGAGATGATCACTAGAGGTTGAAATGGACTAAAAACAGAAAAATATCCTGATTTTGCTGTTGTTGTACGGGCCACAATTATAAACCAATCCACGGAATTGTGCATGGAGTTAGAATTTAGGGCTGGGCAGAAGTCTACCAATTTGGAGGTCATCGGACAATATTTAGCGGGTAAAATAAAGTACAATAGAGCCCCGACTTGCGTCGTTAATTGGGTCCGGAGAATCGCGGCGCAACTCAAAACGATGCGTATCGAATCACCTTTTTCTATAAATCTAAATCAACAACACTTATATCCATTTGTTTGGATGGTCTTACAGTTTTTATACCTTCCACCATAGTATGGATGGTATATAAAGTTTGTCATTCCATTTGTAACACCTCGAAATACACATTTTAGACCCCAAAAAGTACGTATATTCTTGATCAGCATAAAATTCTATGTCGATTTAAAGATGTCCGTCCGTCTGTCCGTCTGTGAAAATCACTCTAGCTTCCGAAAGAAATGAAGTAGATTAATAAAATTTTACTCAAATGTGTATTATACCTGCAGGACTTTTGGTATTGAAAATGGATGATGTAGGTCCACGTTTTGGAATTTTGATGATTTTAGCTACATTATTCGACGTTTTTTTTTATTCAAGTTTCGCTTTTGAATATTGTAATGGTTTATGACAAAAGTTGCCTATGCAGGTCCACGTTGTCGTATTGGTATTTTTAAGATTTTAACAGAATTTTTAATGGATTTTTTTTAATTACAAATTTGGCAATTAAAAAAAATCCATTAAAAATGGAATACCATCCAAATGGTGAAGGGTATTCAAAGATCGACCCAGCCGAACTTACTCTTTTTTTACTTGTTTTAACAAAAATGTCTAAAGTTTGTTGAATTTTTAAAGATTTTTTTGTTGATATATTTCTTTGTAACAACCAATGGCTTGATCAACAGATGCTGCTACGCCCTTATTATGACATCTTCTTCTGAAACATGCTGAATATCCTCATCCTGAGACAGCAAAAATTCATTAATATCACATTCCGCCATTGCTTCGAATTCGGCTTCTCTAGCTAAATTAGCCAACTCATTACTAACGTTTGGAACATCATCGGGACTATCTTCGTTTCCATCAATAAGTGCTGACCATAGTGTTACCCGGTCCTTATCTGCTTTATATCTAGGGCATGCTTTCTCATTTTTTGACAAGTAAGTTCTCGATGGTAACCGTTTCCAAAAAAAAAAAAAAAAAAAAACCTGTTTCGTCGGCATTCAAAACCTGTTTAGCAGAATACCCAACTTTTTCAATAATGGCTATCAGCTCAAGCTTAAAATTTTCCGAAGCTGCTGAATCTGCACTAGCTGACTCTCCTTTTAATGCCAAATTATGTAAGTTTGCCCATGTTTTAAAGTGGTTAAACCAACCATTGCTGGCTTCGAAAGAATCAGAATTTCCGTTACTACTAGATGCAGTATTTTTTTAAGGTCGGAGTAAATAGAAAGAGCTTTATTCTCTATTACGTCCTTGCTCAGTGGCATTCTTCGCTTATTTTGATCATGTATCCAAATTGAAAAACGGACTCCATCTTAACCAATAAGGGATTTATTTCTAAATTCTTACCACATCCAGACAGTTGTTCTTAGCACCACAAAGAAAAGGGAATTCCTCTTATTTCACGCAATTTGAAAATTTATTAACGTATAGGTGACGATCAGTGTTGCCAGAAGTTGTAAAAATTCTAAACGACAGAAAAGATGCTAAATCAGGCACTGCAAACGCAAAAAATAGTAATCCACAATGTAGCTCGGACCGACGCAACTTGAAATTGCAACGACTCAAATCGAATTTTCTGGTTTTTGAAAAGCGACGCAACTCGAAACGACGCAAATCGGGACTATGTGGGTTCGGGGTTCTAGTGTATATCTTGAATATCAAAAAAAAAAGAAAAATTCCACTGGACCGCGAATATTTTTAGTCCCGGCCAAATCAAAAATACATTAAAAGGTCACTTCTAACCAATACAGTGATGTTGATAGCCAGATCGAATTTTCTGTTTTTTAAAAAGCGGTGCAACTTGAAACGACGCAAATCGGGACTCTGGGGGTTCGGAGCTCTAGGGTATATCTTTAATATCAAAAAATACGAAAAGTTCCACTAAACCGCGAATATTTTTAGTCCCGGCCAAATCAAAAATACATTAAAAGGTCACTTCTAACCA